AGCTACATTGGTAATTTACATATTTATTTTGTTATGTAAATCATATTTATAAGTGCTATTTTGACAGAGAAGTGATTCTTTGTAAATTGTAAATACATTGCTGTTTTTTTTTCTCTTTGTGTTGATTGCATGTCTTTGTATCAGACCTGAAAGAAACGTCACATTACATAAAGTACAAGGTAAATATTGCTGTGTGGTCTTGCAATTACTGTTCAGATGATGCTAATTACTGAAGCCATTACTAGCACTATTCCTTGTAACATAATTCTCATTCCTATTTTACACTGAGTAAAAATCTGTTTATCAGGTGGGAAGGTCAACAGCTCCCCGAGGCACCAAACACAGATTGATAATAGATATAATGCTCTTTACATTTTTAACAGTTTCTGTTATTTATTATAAATTATAAAATATTTTTTAATAACGCATATTAAATCATGTAATGTTTGAGTTTTCAATGAAGTCAAAATGACCTATAACTTGAAGGAAGTTGACGAAATAAGATAATCCTTTATTCGTCCCACCAGGGTAAAATTTAAACCCAAATCTAAGATACATTTTTACAATACATTTCTCAGTTCTGCAGCACCAAAGAGAAGCTGAAGCAATTTGCCTTTCAATCACCTGTAAACACAATACATACTATACATACACTCAAACATTGAAACAAGTAACTGTACAAACCATCAAGATCCATTTGACCAATTTGAGCAGTTTCTTGCTCCAGGATATTCCGATCCATGCTGAGGAAGAGCCAGATATTGAACCCCTAACTTTGCTCAAACCTGAGCCTATTTACACACCCTAACCAACTTCAGATTTTGTTACAGATTCGAGTATTTCACCATCTCAGTTTTGGACCGATTTGGCATCTTTACTATAAAATAATCCATTTGAATTTATGGACGGGCTTTTCGGAACAGCTCAGGAAGTAGAGTGAGTCATCTGCAACATCAAGGTTGATCAAAGATCAAAACCATATACACAGAACGTCGACACTGTTGGAATGACTTCAAAGCAAGTGAACTACAATGTAAGAATATGGACTAAAAGAGACCATTTATTATATTCTTAATCATTACATGCATTGTTCTTCCTTAATGTAGCCTCAAACAACTCGCCTCACACAGAGATGAGGAGCAGCCACAAAAGTTTTCTTTCTGAATCCAAACCCCAAGATTTTTAATTTTCAAACACATAATATAGATGTTTTAAATAACTTTTAAATAACTTTTAACACATCGA